AGTGGATTGGGGTCTTATATTTAGAATCAAAATAAAAATCAAATAGAGTCTTATTAAGGACCGGAGGTAGTAATAAACAGAAAAAATGCCAATAAATCTAGAGTAAAGCGATAGCTGAAATCAAAGCTTTTTTTTCCAAACCAAAAAAATAAAAAAGTCAAACGGTGTCATTATCGCTAATTTTCCTTTTAAAAAAAAGGTCGTTGTCACTCTAGAGTAACGGCGTTTTTTTTTTTTTAAAGGAAAAAGAAGAAGAAGTCATTATCACTAATTTTTAAACTTTGAAGTTCCGAAACTCCAACGATATCAAAGCAGGAGAAGGCCTTCCGCCCTTGCCATTCCAATTTGACGCTCAAGGACTCGCCTCTGCTCACTGGAAACCTTCCACGGGGATATCCGCTTTTTTGCATATTCTATTCTATGTACTACTTCTGCATTTTACCTTCTTCAACCCCTTTCACCTCTGAAGCACCACCGACATCAGAAAACACCCTGTCAATATTCCTGCGCAATTGTTTTCTCCTCCTCCTCCTCCTTCTTTATATTATACAATTCTTTCTCTTTGAGAAAATCGACGTTTGTTCCTTTTATTGAGACTCTTCCTTGTGTTGTCCACCCCAAGAAGAAGAAGAAGAAGAAGAAGAAGAAGCAGCTTTACGGTGTCAGATTTCGTTTCTGCTATTTGGGGCGTCGTTATTCGTCTTCTTTCTTGCTTTTCAGCGGTAGCAGGTGTGGTGTGGGCCGTTTCTAATGTCAGTGAAGGTGGCGATTTCGAAGGCGGCCAATCAATGGCATCCCGCTTTCTCTCCTATCCTCCATTGGCGTTTTGGGTTGCTCACAGCTTTGGTTCTCGTTGGAATGGTCGTGGTATGGAGTGTTGATGCCTGCACTATTAAGAACTTTATTCAAGCTTGGAGGTCTCGTCAAGATTTGCCCTTCGTGACTGCTAAGAACACTTATAGGGATTCCGGAAAACTATACCATATCCCTAAAAGGCCTGTAGTTAGGGGACATTCAAGTTGGATTGCTAGTGAACTTGAACCCAACTTGACTTCTAATCTTCTTGCCCGATGGTCAGCTCGTGGAAGAGAGCCTTGCGAAGATTCGAAGACAGTAGAAATTGCAATTCCTAGTCTGGATGACGGGAAAGTAACAGAGCTTTTGGCTGGGGATGTTTATGAGTTTGTCTTTCAAGCAATGGATGATTCTGGAAAACCTCGGTGTTCAGGCGGGGACTACTTCGAGACTGATCTGTTAGGCGAATCTTGGAAATCTCGACCTTTGGTGAAGGATTTCAACAATGGTTCCTACTCTATTTCACTTCAAGTTCATCCAGATTTTGATGGGGTTTACGATCTCACTATAATCCTCCTTTACAGACACTTTGAAGGCCTTAAAATGACCCCATGGAGATTTGCTTATGATCGAGTGCTTCGCAAGATTGCTATCAGATTCCACAGAAGCAGTGTTCAATTACCAGAGCTGCATGCTTGCAAAGAATCAGACTTTACTAGGGATGTCTGGATTGGAAGGTGGACGAGGCACGCCAAAAATGATGACTGCGAAATAAGTAATGATGGTAGGTATCGATGCCTAGCACCGGATTTTCCTTGCAGAGCTCCATGGTGTAATGGTTCTTTGGGAACTCTGGAGAGCAATGGTTGGGTGTACTCAGCACACTGCTCGTTCAAAATGTTTTCAGCTGATTCTGCTTGGAATTGCTTGAATAATCGGTGGATTTTCTTCTGGGGCGATTCAAATCACGTTGACACTATACGCAATTTGCTCAATTTCATTCTTGATTTGCCTCAGATACATTCTGTCCCCAGGAGATTTGATATGAACTTTTCAAACCCAAAAGACCAGTCTCAAACAGTTAGGATTACAAGCATCTTCAATGGCCATTGGAATGAGACACAAAACTATCTAGGACTGGAATCCCTGCGAGAGGAAGGGTTTCAGAATTTGCTAAGGAAGTACTTCTCTGAAGATACAGTCCCAGACACCATGATCATGAACTCTGGCTTGCACGATGGTGCTCATTCTCGCACTGTAAGAGCATTTTCTTTTGAAGCAGAAAACGCAGCCTCGTTCTGGGCAGATGTTATGAAGCAAGTGAGGCAGAGAGGTTTGGCATGGCCAAAGGTCTTTTACAGGGCCACAGTTGCAACTGGTGGACGTGCAAGAACACAAGTATTCAATCCTAACAAGATGGAAGTGTTCAATCATATATTCTTGGAGAAGCTGAAGCAAGCTGGGGTTGTCTCTGGCGTGATTGATAACTTTGACATCACATTTCCTTGGCATTATAATAATCGGTACAGTGATGGGGTTCACTATGGAAGGCCTCCGGCGAAGATGAAGTGGCGAGATGGTCTCATAGGGCATCATTATTTTGTGGACCTCATGTTAGCTCATGTTCTGCTTAATGCTATGTGTGCAAGATAAGCATGAAGGTTCGAGTCATAAGAGATGGCCATTTCTTATTCTTGCCCTACGAGTATAGATCCTTATAATTAATTAGGCTTGGCATTCTTTTTTGTTCATAGTCTTGTCCGCAAAATTTCTTCACACATACGGTTGTTGCACTTGTAGATTAGCAGAGGATTTTGATCCTTATTTATATTTATGATCAATGAAGTTCAAAGGTTATTCTTTATTTGCACTATGCACTTTGCATTTAGCAAATCTCTTACCGGTTGAAAACCAATAAGCTTTGAAGCTGAAGTATTTGACACCATGTACAGAAGGCTTGTGGTTGATTACTTAGGTTGGGAAGATAAGTTAGTTATTTTCTGTTGTTGGTGGCATTGGGATTACGTCAGAATGCAATGCGTGCACGAGTTATCTGTCCCTTTCAAACCGTTGCTTCAAACAACCAAATTATTAAGGTCTAGTGTTGAGAACTAGTGAGTAAAAGTGAAAATTTAAACTCTAACCTGCCTGGTAGATTCAACTTAACTGAGGCCCTTTTTGAAGTTGCTGGTAAGAATTCTATGTGCCCTTTGATTAAACTGTTGGTGAATAAGGCAGTAACTGGCCTGAAGAACTCCTGCTGCTACCAGAAAAAACACCACTGATTTATGATAATTGCTAAAAAAACTATGTAACGACGAATGATTATCCAAAAAAAAAAATAATAATAATAGAGGCAGCCGTCTTTACAATTTGGCATGAATCTTCTTTTTGCTATCATTCTACATTTCCTCGTCATAAAGGTAAACTTTCAAGCCACTCCATGGGATGTCATTAACAGCTTCAGAGACGCCTGAAATCTTGTAGGTTCCTTAAAGTTTCATCCACTTAGATCATTAACCAGTTCCCAATTTTTTTTGGACGTCATGGTCACTGGTCAAGGAAAATTAGTACTATTTCGGGTCCTTAAGATAAGAGCTTATTTGATTTTTATTTTGATCATAAATATAAGAATTTAATTCACTTTGTTTTTTATATTTTTTTTAAGATAATCCTTATAATAGTTGCACAAGTTAAACATTTTATCAAATGATAGTTCTAATTAATACATGCGACTAGCAATGATATTCTAAGTTCGGTAAAAAAAAAAAAAGCAATGATATTCTAAGAAAGATAACATTTATTCATTATAAATAACTAACTTAATTAATTTCTTTAATCTACTCTTTATAATTTAAGATAGGCATATATACATAAAAAATCGTACCAAAAAAGTTTGAGAATTAGACTTGGTAACAAATATAAAGAGTTAGTTCAAACAGATTTTATAAATTATAGGCAAATATAGAGGATAAGTTTTTTCAAAAAGAATTATAAAAATCATTCTAACAGTTTGTTAAGATTTTTATTGAAGTAAGATTATATCCGAATCTTGCCACTTTTAATATAAAACTTTAATTTAAACTTAAATTACCGTTACATTACATTATAGTAGTATAATATTATCTCATAACACATAGGACATAGCAATTTTTTTTGGCCAAAAGTATATAGCAATGAAAATTGAAAAACAAAAAACTTCTTTAGTTATGTGTCATTCTCTTTGTCTCAAGTAGGCTATATTAGTAATAGAGGAAATTACAAATAAAGACTCCTAAATATGTAAAATTGTGATTTGGAACCCTAAACTTAGAAAATAGCAAGTAAGGACCTAATCTCACTTTTGCAGATATAAAACGTGGGCGAAATATTTGAAATGTCTCTCAACTAAATTGTGATTTGGTCTGCTAAAATTGTCATTCGCTAAAGTGAATTTGTCATTTCCTATAGTTAACTTATCATTTGGCATACCCTTAGCCAAGTTGTGATTTGATCTACTAAAATTATTATTCGTTAAAGTGAATTTGTCATTTTTCATAGTCAACTTGTCATTTGATTGAGGGGTATTTTAAACATTTCACCTACACATCATATTTGCAAAAGTAAAATTGGGTCTTTATTTGCTATCTTCTAAATTTAAAATCCTCATAATTTTACATATTCAATGGTCTTTATTTAGAATTTTTCCTTAGTAATAATTCACGAAAAAAAATGAAGATGAACATTTTCTTTAAGAAAATACGATGCTTTATTATTTTATAAAAATTATTCTTATTGTCAGTACGTGTTAAAGGACTTGAACACGGCGCAATGGCTAATTTTTCCTTTTCACAAACAATGATAATAGGATTAATAATAATAATAATAATCATAATATCCAGCCTGGCCAGCCCCAATGATAAGTACATGAGACGAGGCATGCCGATCAGGATCAACCGATAGTAGCGATAACATTTATTTTTGCCGCTGGGAAAAAGGGAGGAGGAAAAGGATTAAAAGGGTAGATAGGTTGAAATAATAAATTTACGAGGTGTTTTATAATTTCAAAATATTTTTACAGTTTATAAAATAAATATATAAAATTTTTTTACCTCGTTAAAAACAAAAAAAAATGTTTTTTAGAAGTAATTACCGAACACTCCTTAATAATGAAGTTTGGAGCGAAATGTAAATTAGCCGAAAGAAGATGCGAGCGCATTCTCCCACGCAAACAGATAAAAGGAAGCGGGATATAAGTTACGCAGAGGAGGATCTGAATCCGTTTGATGGGCTAAAAGCACGCTGCATGTGGTTAAACGATCAACCTACAAATCTGGCTAACCTTGGGGGATTCAATTTGAGGGCTCGCTTATCCCTTAAGCAACCATCTTGTGACTTCAACGACGACGAAGAGGAGTGTAGGCCTTGGCGTCGCAGGCTTACCATGGCTTTCACCTGGGGCTCTGCCCTCAGGATTACTCTTTTGCTTCTCCTTCTCGCGGCTATTATTCTAGCTTGTTTTACTCTCCCCATTGAAAAGGTACGTTGAATTTCACTTCTCGGTGGCTCAGATTTTTTTTCTTGATCCCATCTTCGGAAATTTCCATTCACTTTCAATGGGCCGGACATATTTTTGTTAAAACGATTGATTATCTTATAAACGCAGGTAGATCTCTGATTGCTTAATTTTTTTCTCTCTTTGCTAGCTTCGTGGATCCATTCCCTAATGGACATGGGGTTTGTTTATATCCGTTAAATCAAATGAGCGTCTCACGAATCTGATGCGCTTAGTTGAAATTTTCCTTCGGTCACATTTGCATACAGATGCAGGAATTTTATTTGATGAAAAATGTTGGTGGCACTTGTCCTATTTCATCATTATAACAATGGGAAAAATATAGAGAAGCCAGATTTTCTAAATTTAAGTTTCTTCTATCAAATGGTTTCAATTTTCTATGTAATGTACATTTGGATTTGCTTCCCTGAGCAATTGCCCAGCATCCTGCTCACAGAGTGCCTTTTAACAACCGGACATTTATGATCTGCAGATACTAAAGAACTTCTTACTATGGGTTCATGAAGATCTTGGCCCCTGGGGTCCACTTGTCCTGTAAGTCAATTCTAGTTTTTTACCGCTTTGATCTCCAATTTTCCATATAGTAACTGTCTTTCTGGGATACTTACAATTTCCACTATTGTTGATTCCTTTTAATTTTGGAAATATCTAGTTGGTTGCCTTTATTTATTTTTAATTTCATGACCTGGTAATGTAATTTCTGAAAAACACATATGGGAGTTAGTAGCAAGATATTTGGAAAAAAAAATTCTGGTTCTGTTTAGGGGAGACTTTATTTGGTCAGCTTCAGAGGAGATTGTCTCTGTGCTTTCGTAGTCTTGCAAATCTTGTCTTATTCACGATGCAATGGAAAATAATTTGAACAAGCCACACCATTTATGACCTATGAATGTGACTCTTTTTTAAACTCTGCAACGCACAGGAGCTACACTAATTTTTCAAATATAAGCTGGCCTTTCTAGAAAATTGCTCTTGTCCTAAGTTATTATGTGGGCAATGATTGATTGAATGCATGAATTTTTGCACTCATGGTTATTTGATACTCTTCAGGGCTGTTGCTTACATTCCTTTGACAGTCTTGGCAGTTCCAGCTTCAGTACTTACTGTAAGAATCATTAATACCCTAACATTATTACTGCGCTGATAGTTGGTTTCTAAAAGCACTTTTCAAGTATTTGTAATCATCAATTCATCACTCTTTGGATTTGTAGATATTCAAGCTAATGTTATTATAGGTCATCATGATATTTTTGAAACTTATGTGGTCTTGATTACATTGTTGTGTTATACCATTGTTACATCTTATTGCCAAATTATACTTTGTTCATTTTTTCTCAAGTGGCTGACTCTAAATCTTTTGACTCTGAGTATCTAATATTGGAATTTGGGGTGATTAATGCTAAAAATATTGATACTCTACTTTCAGCTTGGTGGAGGTTACCTTTTTGGGCTTCCAGTGGGCTTTGTTGCAGATTCTATCGGCGCAACTGTTGGGGCAGGAGCTGCATTTCTTCTTGGCAGAACAGTAAGTTCCTCAATTTTTGCGTATATCCATGGCTGTCAACATAAAAATCATCTTTGGTCGACTGCTGGCCACTAATTAACTAAATTATGTTAGGTTTTTCTTGATTTGTATAAGATGCTTTTTCTTCTATACATGGTCATTGGCTTTTCCTTAGCCTTCTAGTTGGGTTGCGATTCAGTCTATGATTATGGTGTCTTTGTGTCTTCACCTTGTCATATTATTGTTAATACATGCAGATTGGAAAATCATTTGTTATTTCAAAGTTGAAGGATTATCCACAGTTCAGATCAGTTGCAATTGCAATCCAAAGATCTGGGTTTAAGGTACGTGCCCTTCATATTGGTAATGCTATTTTAAAATTTCTTGAATCTTTTAATGTACCTTTCGAGTGCTCCACTTTTGCCATATTTTCCAAGTCCACTTTTGTTTACAAACTAGTAGCTCAGTGTTGAGCGTGTGGTCATGAAACTATGTTTCTAGTAACATGCCTATCATTTTATTATAATTTCTAACATACTCTTCATGTGAAAACCCTTTGAACTTGAACCGCGTAGCACAAACTCACCATATGCATGATGAAATATAATTTTATCTGTGAAGAACTACATGACTATAGAAGCTCTTATACTGTGTCAAGAACTGCTTCGCCTGAACTTTCAAGTGAAGGCTGAACAGTTTTACCTTGTTCTCTAACTATGCTTGTAATTGTGCCATATTAAAGTATTCTTGTTTGATTGGTATTTAAAAGAAATCGAGAAAGCTCCTCTCTAACCATAATTTATTACTAATATCCTAGATGGTGCTTCCTTTTTCAAATTTTCAGCTTGATATCTTTAACTTATTTTGGCTTTCCTAATGTCTATACAGATTGTTGTGCTGCTTCGGCTCGTTCCATTACTGCCATTTAACATGCTAAATTACCTTCTGTCTGTCACTCCTGTTTCGTTAGGGGAATACATGCTGGCTTCTTGGATAGGAATGATGGTACTTTCTTCCTCTTTTGATCAATTAATGTCCGGGGCTTGGTCCAAGTCCAACTATAAGTCCCTGTTGTCATGCTTTAAAATCCTCAAAACTGTCTTGTGATTCTCTGATTTGTTGTTATTAGTTTCATTGCATGCTAGAAATGGTTATCTATATGGAGTTATTATGGATTAGATTGATGAGAAACTGTTTAACACCTCTAGAAAAGGCTATCTGAATTTCAAAGAAAAATTTGGTCCAGTAATTGTCTTTACCGTATTGAACCTGGAGACCTCATAATTATGTGTGGGTGTTATGTGGATGTGCACAAATTAATATGCTACTGCTCGCTGCATACATCTTGGGTAGAGAAATGGGCGTTGAAATAAAGTCTTTACATTTGCCACTGTTATGTTCGAGGTTTGTAAGCACCTCTACATGATCATCTGCCTCACTTCTGACTATGAAATTAGGTTTTGGGAAGTGCATATGTTGGTGTAACTACTTAGTTAAATCTGCCTTCCCCTTAGTGAATAAATCCATAAGCTACAAATTGAAATCCCATCAGAAGTTTCCAATAATTCATGCCATTACCAACTGATGAAGTACTCTTGTATCATTTGAATTTCAACTGAAGTCATTTTGTTGCTGCTCAGTAAATGGTATTGCAGTTACAATGTTGTGTTAATTCCTTCATTATCATTATTATTGCAGCCAATTACACTGGCACTTGTGTATGTTGGAACAACTCTCAAAGACATTTCTGATGTGACGCATGGTTGGGGCGAGTTCTCAAAGACTCGTTGGGTAAGAGATGACATAACTAGCATTTCTGATTTTTTTTGCCTTCTGGTAGCCCGTCAGCTTTACTCTCTTTTGTAATTCTTTATGCTTCATTTTGCTTTTGTTTATTCACATCTAAGATGCTTTGAATGGTGATTTCTGAACTGGAACAGTAGGTTTCAATCTAATTATTTTTTTTTCCCCAGTAAATATAACTTGTCTTTCTTTATCTTGTGGATGCAGGCATTTATCTTTCTTGGCCTTGTAATATCTGGTAAGTTGCATTGTTTTCACACGTAATACATATCTCATGAAAACAAATTTGGCGGACAAAATGTTTGGTTTATGGGAAGCTGTTCGGTCAGAAGGTGTTGGCCTATCTGACTTGTAGTGCGGAATATGAATTTCTAATGTACTTATAGAGTAACCGCACTGGGTAGCATGCAACATGGAACGTTGGCCCTCCAGCCCGTTATTATATCCTTGAATCCTGAATTCCCACTCACACCCCACCCTAGTCACTTGAACTCAGTTGGCATGTAATGCACGACATTTATGCTGCATTTTACTCACACAGGATATATCGGAAATAAGTAGGACTCTAAAATTGTTTAAAATGTTGTGTCTTATGCACAAGATAAATGTGAAGACCGACGAGTTATAATTTGGTGTGAAGTTTTTTATTTACACCATTTTTTTAAATTTAAAAATTCTTGTTATTTTCAGTTATTCAGTTTTGTTGAGCATTTAGTGCACGGATTGTTGTGCACCATAAGTAATTGTGGAGTAAGTGGTGTCTATAGTTAATTTGATAATTAAGGAGTTTTGAGCATAGGTTGAACTGCAAGCATATGGTAAGATCATGAACTGTGGAGGCTGAAAGCTGAGTTAATTTGGTTTATTGTGCAGTGGTGCTGATGATATGTGTTATGAGAGTTGCCAAGTCTGCGTTAGATAAAGCATTGGCTGAAAACGAAGATATAGAAGGTATTACAGGTTCATCCCCAGTGTTACCAGTTGTTTCAGATTCTCCGGTGGATCTTCACCAGCCCCTCATGATCAGAGTAGAACCTCCTGAAGAAGACAAACATGAAAAGTAAAACCCCTTCGCTCTGTAAATTCTTTCCCTTCCTTCTTAAAGCTTATGCTTTCTATATTGACGTGTAAGCTGTAGCTGCTTGCTCCCACTTATTTGTGATTTGTACAGTGTTAACGAGGATTAGGATCTTTAGTTTTGCAGTGATGGCTAATCCTACAATCACAGTCATATTATTGAATTGGTAGCTTGTATCTTGACGGCAGAGAAGTTCATGTGAACGATTTGAGTCTTCTTTTTTTTGGCCCAACAATTTGAGTCTTTCTATGACTCCATTCTATGTTTCTCCCACCCTGGAGTCTAATTTGATGTTGCTATTCCAATTTCAATCGTCTCCGGCATTCGTTGGGATCTCTGGCAACTGAGATTACGTCCTCGGAAAAATTAAAACTACCGTAATTTGAACTCAATTTTTAAAATTTTTTAGGGTTTTATGGTTGTCGGGTTATTCAAAAATCGCTTCGCCTTAGATGAAAATGTCGGAAATTCTAATTTAGAGCAGTCGGAGGTGCTCTTGACTTTGAAAAATAATATCATTTAAATTAAATTAGTGAGGAACCATTGGAATTATAAACGACGAACAAATTTGTACAATGGGGTGGGTCACGCATGTTGCTAATTTCTCGGAAAAAAGGAAGCAGCTGTTTTGTAATTGTCAAGCTTGATTATTTTAAAATGATGGGGCCGTGTGGTCGCAAGTTAGTATTACGGTCAAATTTTATGTGGACTGTCTCTGCGATTGGTGTGATGGTTACGTTACAATTTACATGGAGTGGCAATCTTTCATCTGCCGAAGGAGTGAACGGGGAGGAAACGTCTTGGCAAAAGAATAAACTGTAAGGTAGACTCATCCTTCTGAAAAATTCGCTTTACGGTTGAGTTGCTTGCGGCAAGAGACACAAGGTATGGTTCTTTAAACGGCGTGTCGTTTGGTTTTGATTTTCAAATCCAATTTTGAGTTAAAATTTTCTTATTTGGCAACCAAGTTGCCGTGCCCAACAAGCAAGTTGACACCTTGTCAAACAACATGACATGCGTACTTGCATTAATTATTTACTACTCCCGTGGTTCTGTTTATAGGACTGAGAGAAGATATTTTTTTGTCTTGTTTATAAGGCACTGAGCGATTTTTTGTATGGATATACAACTTTACCCCTCATTTATTATTGTGTTGATTTTGTTTACATGAGGTACAATATATATATTAAATAGGAATAAAATCAGAAAGTTATTAAATTTTAAATAAGAGTTAATGAAATTTAAGGTTTTTCTTGATCTGCATGAAACATGCTGGAAGTGTCTTATAAATAAGATCAGAAGAGTATTATATTCTTCTCTATGTTTCATTGGTTGATCAAATGTTTAACTTATGTAAGATTCGGATTCTCACTATTTGAAATATAAAAATAATTTATCCGCAATATTTGTTGTTCAGTCTATTAAAATGATCTTCTTTTTTTTATTAAAGATAATATTTTAATTAATTTTAAATTAGAAATCAATCAAGCAGTCCCATTTCCTTGCTGAAGAGTTTTAATGCCAGTCACTAAGTTATAGGCACTTTTGTAGGGGTTATATTATTGATAAATTATACTACCTTCGCTCTTTAATATAAGAACTAATTGACTAATTTGAGTAGACTAAGAAAGTTTGTTAAGTTAATTATTTATAATAAATATATATTATCTGTTCTAAAATATCCCTGCTAATTATATATATTTGTCAAAACTACTATTTGATGGAAAATTTAACATGTGTAACTACTACAAGAACTATTTTAAAAAAATGATTAAATATAAAAGATAAAATAGATTGAAATCTTATATTTAGAATCAAACTAGCTTTTATATTAAAAACAAGCGGTAGTACATTTCTATCAAATAAAAGTTTATAGATATTAATTAATTACCAATATCATTATACGTAAAAGAAGCACAATATTAATTTCACCATAGTGATGTAAGAGAATACAGTTTTAAAATTGTTCACCTAAAACATAGATAGACACAAGGGGGGCGAAAGCCGCCCACACGCCCCGGACTATGTCCCAGCACAACAATCAAATGGTAGATATTTAGCGAGAATGTTATTTAGACTTCATAAGTAGCTTAAATAGATGAATTTGAAGCCCCATTCCCGTTGGCAGCAACTAACAGTAGCCGCCGTGTCTTCGTCAATCTGTTGAAACAAAATGGTGCTTGATCTGGTCCGTCCACTGAATGACTGACAGTAAAGTGTAGTCCAAAACTTTCAGGAGCTCAATGCACACCCAATAAACAAAGAAAGAGTAACTTTTCTTATTGGACAAGAAGATTATACGCTTTGAAACTTGAATTAAATCAAAAGTAAACCCCCCACCTCAATTTGATATTTAAAAAAGGTGAAGCAGCATCATATGGTGTCCATGATGAATCTTTGAAGGTGACTTGTGTGGGTGGTGCCAATAACCCTCTTTTTCCTTACCAAAGCAACAAAGCAAAAGTCACCCTCTTGCATTTTTCCTTTTCTTCAACATATTTTGCCCTCTGCTGCTAAACTTTCCCCCTGTCTTGTGTTGAATTTTTGGTCTTTAGGGGCCCTACCATTTCCTTGATGGGAGGGCTAACCATTATTCTATCACTGTGGCTCTACATATTTTGTTGTCTCTGATCTTTTGTGATCATAGCCACAGAAATCACTTACCACACCAAAACTCCAATGCGTGTGCCTAACTACATGCCATGCGACCCCCTCCATTTTAAAAAAGACCTCAACTTTATTCCATAAATGAAGCTTGTCTAGCACTAAAGGCGAACCAGTTGGTTAGAGGGTGAAAGGAACCTTAAGAGATGACCAAGAAGCAGCAGATCAAGTCTCTGATAGGGAAAGTGCAAGGCATGAGGCTTCTGTCTCTTGGGGGTTGCTTTGATAGCTGCAGAGACCATTCTCAAGCTTCTGGTCTGGGAACAAGGATATGGAATCTGAGTGATAGGCCATTGGAGCTGCAAATTAGGGTCGGGTCAATACTGAAGAAGGTTCACACGGTGAAGCCAGGATGCTCCAAGAGATTGAAATGCAAAAGCATATACAAGGCCTACATGCCTGGTATGAGCAGCAGTAATGGCGATGGAGGTGTGGTGGGGATGAAGAGCTTGCTCTATTACTATGACGAGACTTGCCATCCTTATATATGGATTTCAGACCAGGGGGCTGATTCTCTAAGAATGGTGAAGCAGCAATATGTTAGCCTAGAGGATCTGAGGGACTCTTCTGAGATCAGAATCTTCAGGGATCATCAGAGAGGTTGCATTTCTGTTCGCAAGAGACCAAGGCCTGATTTCTGCTGAATTCAGTTTATCATCATTAATCATTTTCAATGTTTGCGACCTGATTTGTATCCTCTCAGTTTCTGATGAGATCCTCTCGTTCTCTCTGCTTTGTTATCAGTGTGTGTAAGTACAGAATGCAACGATCTATTATATATATGACTGTTTAATTTCGCATTTGTTTCTGAATGGAGTGATGTTACAGATGCCAATTAACAAAGGAACAAAGTTTTAATGTTGCTTCATATAGCTCAATCTAAATAGATACTCTCCTGGTCCTAAATATAAGACATTGTACTAGTGTGTATAAGGGTCTTATATTTAGGACCGGAGGAGTATTTGTTAACTGAAAACTTCTCAAACTTGCCATTTATTCGATTTTCTTCATCGTATCAGAGATGAATTAGTTTCACTGTTTTATTTTTGTGTGGTTACCGACAGCAGAAGCAACCCATTGAGGCAGACACCACCCCCCCCCCCCCAAAAAAAAACCACGAACGGACGTAAATTAATGAAAAGGAACTGTAAATTAATATATATACATATGACTATTAGTTTGGGATTTTGAATTTTTTTACGGAGATTGTAGTTATTTGATTCTCCCTTGTTTTTGTTTGTTTTTATGTGTATTCATGAAGTGTTGTGGGTGGCCGCGATGATGAATGATATTTTAAAGTGCGTTTACTGGGGTAACAAGGATTACGGAGCCTGAGGAGAGAAATCATGAGGGGACGACATAAGTTGACACCGACGTCGCACAACATGATGATGGCGTAAACAACATAATAGCAGTCATATATATATATATTAGATTATTGTACGGCGTAATCATTCCGGCGACATTGCTCGATGACTAGTTTATCAAAATCCCGGGGAGTAGCCAATTGGGCTGGGGCTCCGGGTCGAAGCCCAATGAGCCCAGACCTGATTGAACCAATCAAACTCGCATGCCTAAAGCTTCATCTTTTCCTTCACCCGTGACCGTCCAAATCAGACGGTGATGCCTCTGTAGATGAGAAACCTTATGCAAACCCACTAAAGCCCAGAAGTGCTTGCACCTGCATGCTTAAACATCCTTGTTTTCCCTCACGCATGACTGTCGTTTTACACCGTATTGAGTTCATTTTCAGCTCCCATTGTTCTGCCAAGTCCAATTGCATGGTTTTTCAGGAAGTGAACTATATCTTGGTTTTGTCTTTATGGTACAGGTGAATGGTGATGTGTGTCTTCTTAGTTTTGTCCAGGTGACACTTTACAGAAGTTCACTCGTCAAGCGTTTGCAGTATATAAAGGGAAAAGGGGCCACCTTGTTTGACTACTTAAACCTTCCTTGTGCATCTTGGCTGTACGGATTCCTTCCCGATAAAAACTTGAACATACAGATCCGCAGTAGAATGTGTACAATATGCTCTTCCTTTATGCTACTTATACCTTTTCGGGTTAAAAAATATACACAGCCACCTTGGCTGGAACACTGGGTTTACTCTGACAAATAATGCGACTCATAAAGAGAAAAGACCAGATTCTAAATGTTTTCTTTTGTGTTCCCCCCTCTTCCTTTTTCTTCTTTCTGCTCCTGCTTAAAAAAAAAAAAGCAAGCGGTTGGATTGGCGCTTATATTTCACTACAAGGTAGCTTCGCTGTTGGTCAAATTTTGTGGATTTCTTTTCTTCCTTTTGTTTTCGCCTCATTCATCACACATGCTTTTGCCCACAACATGACTTGCCATGCTGGTCGCAAAAGCAGGAGAAAGGTTGAAACCCAGAAAACTGGGCAAGGTAGCAACACGGTCCCCTACTTCATAGAACCATGCAAAATTCAAGACACCGACTCATTTCTTTCTGGGGGGTGACCAAATGAAGGATTTGGAGTCGTATGATTATTATGTCTTGGTTTGCGACGCACAACAGGTGTGGTACAACGACGAAGCTAAGGTTGTAGTAATTAACTGGGTTGGATTACCAATTGAGTGCTCATAGCAGTTCCCTGCCTGTCTGGTAAGGACTCTAAATAACAACAAACGTTTGAGTATAAAAGTCAAAACGGAGGCTCTAAAACCAATCTCACTCTTCGTGACTCGTGACTGTCACGTATCGTCATCAATATATTGGGAAAAAGTTTCTTTTGTTTTGTTAAATATAAAGTCAGTTAAATAATCATTTATTGTTTTTTCCTCTAATTTCATATTTTTATACAATTAAATTTTATAAACAACTGATTTGTTATCATCAATATGAAACTAATTTCTGGCGATGGCATATATGTAACTCAAATCTTATGAATAAGATGGAACTGATAATGTCTTGCCTTTAAAAGAAAAAAGAAAAAGAAGAAGACGGAACTGATAATGTGAACAAGGTGAGTGGCATGAGGAGAGAATAGCACGTACTGGTACTATTCTGAGAGAAGGCCATGGAACCCAATAAATGAGAGTAATAATTGCATCCCTCAATTCGGAAATTTAGAATCTGACACTCTTCATTCACTTACCCTCCTCCTCTTCATTGTCATCGTCTCTTCCACATGCCCCCCTCCAAAAAAAGGGTCTATTTTATTATTTTATTTCCTTTATAAACTCTTAACTTTCTCACTTATAACTTCAATGATCTTGTTGCTTCTAGTGTGTTCTTTTTACATTAAAAAAATTAACATGAAATATAAAATGAATATTAAAAGGGTTCACAGTTGAAAATAAATATCACAGTAAATTAGTAGTTTGTTAGTCGAAAGAAGAGGAACCCAAACGCAATTCATTCACTCCTTCTGATTTTAGGAAAAATTACACTCAAGTCCCACAGAGCACAATTAATATCAAAAAGGTCCCATAAAATCACAAAATGATTCTGAAGTCCCCGGGGACCTATGTGTAATTAATTCTAATTGTGAAATTACCTACTTACCCCTGTTAATTTTATTGCAACAATTCGTTTACAATCTCAACAATGGCTGTTAACAACCCGAAAAGACGTGATTGACAACCTCGGCAGTGCTCATGACAACTCACTCTATGGAATGCCAAGGGCATTATTGAGGTTGTTAACCACCTCTTCTCGGGTTGTTAACAGCCACTGTTGATGTTGTAAATAGGTTCTAATTTTATTGCAGCAATTCGTTTATAATCTCAACAGTGGCTGTTAACAACCCGAGAAGACATGATTGACAATCTCGGCAGTGCTCATGACAACTCACTCTGTGAAATACCAGGGGCGTTGTTGAGGTTGTTAACCACCTCTTCTCGGATTGTTAACAGTCACTGTTGAGGTTGTAAATAGGTTCAAATTAACAGGGGTAACTACGTAATTTCACAATTAGAATTAATTACACACAGGTCCCTGGGGACTTCAGAATTATTTTGCGATTTCGAGGGACCTTTTTGATATTAATTATGCTCTGTAGGACCTGAGTGTAATGTTCCCCTGATTTTATTACTAAAGGTCAAACGTGAATTTTACTTTCATATATATTCACAATATTAAAGGTCAAATAGATACCCAATATGCATTTTAATGCGAGAAAAACTGTAAGATGTGAAATAAAAAGGTAAATTTCTTGACACGCCAGACAGGGTGTCGCAAACCGATTTAAAAAATGAGTTTAGATTAACTGAGTTAAAATAATCTTATATTATACATAAATTAAGTATGTGAAAATAATCTTACCTTGTAAAACGCAAAAATGTTTTTTAACTAATGATGGAAGCCTGCACAATGCTTCACAATAAATAAAGGCATCAGACATAAAGGGACCGCTTAGAACGCCATTCTCTGTCTCTCTCTCTCTCCCCCTCTCCCTCTCTCCGAAACAGATAATTCAGAAGCAGCCAGAGAGGTTTAATTTTAATGTCTACCCACCATCCCTGAACAGAGACCCCCCCCCCTCACTCTCGCCTCTCTCTCTCTCTTCCCCCACTTCTGCTAGGAAGGCCCATTCTCATCTGTCATTTCCCCCGTGTTTGGTTCGAAAACCGGTTTCAGATATTGCTAGAGCAAGAAGAAGCTCACTTAGCTTCTTGTGTGTTGTCCTCTCTGGGTTTTTCCTGTCCTTTTTTACTCAGATCTGTTACCTCCCTCTTCGCCTTTTCCCTCATTCCTTCAATTTTGGGGGCTTCAACCATGAGTAAAGAAGAGTTCTTGAAGATACAGGTGCTTCCTCTATCCCTTTCCCCGCATTTTTTCAGGGCCTCTGCTTTGTCATCTGAGTAATCAATGACTCTGAAGCTTTTCTATTTCGTAATTTTAGTTTTTCTCCCGTCTTGTTGCACATTTCTGATGAAGTAACCAGCTTTATTCTATTACATAGTTTTATTTACTCACAATGAATCTATTTTTTCCCCTCCTTTTTTCTTTTCCTTTTTGGTCCATTCTGTCTTGGATACGGGGATTGCTTGCGCATGCAGAAATCTGTTCTTAAGGTGAACATACACTGCGATGGATGTAAGCACAAAGTGAAGAAAATCTTGCAGAAAATCGACGGTACCTACATTGGCATATACTTGTAGAAATTATGTCTGGAAAAAAAAATCTCTCGTTTTTCTAGACGAATCTTAAAAGTGAATATTGTGGTTGACAGGGGTGTTTACGACGGAGATAGATGCGGAACAGGGGAAGGTGATGGTGTCTGGGAATGTGGATCCCAACGTTCTCATCAAGAAGCTAACGAAATCAGGGAAGCATGCAGAGCTCTGGGGTGCTCCCAAATCAAACAATAACAACCAGAACCAGAATCACATCCCTAAGCAGTCAAAGAACATGCAAATCGACAATGGCAAAGGCGGTGGGAATAACAAGGGCCAGAAAGGTGGTAACAACCAGCCCAAGGGCAAGGGCAAGGGCGGGGGCGGTGGCGGTGGAGGCCCGCAAGGAGGACTGAATCCTCAACAGCTCCAACAGCTCCAGCAGATGCAGCAGCTTCGAAGTCTTCAAGATCTGAAATTTCCTCAATTCAAACTACCTCCAGGCCAGAACCCAAACCAGAACCAAAAAACTCTCAAGTTCGACTTGCCGGAGGATGACGACGATTACAGCGACGGCGAGCTGGATGATGAGTTCGATGACGATGATTTCGATGACGACGAGTTTGACGATGATGAACTGGAGGGAGCTCCACTGCCCCTGAACAAGATGAATCCTGATATGGGGAACGGCGCTCCCATGATGCTCAACGGCATGAATATGATGAATCCCCAGAAGAGTGGGAATGCCATGATTATGAATCCTCAGAAGATTGGGAATGCCATGAATATGATGAATCCTCAGAAGGGTGGGAACGCCATGAATATGATGAATCCTCAGAATATGATGAATCCTCAGAACGGTGGGAATGCCATGCATATGATGAACCCTCAGAAGGGGGGCAATGCCGTGCATATGATGAACCCTCAGAAGGGGGGCAATGCCATGCATATGATGAACCCTCAGAAGGGTGGGAATGCCGGACCAGGTAACGGGAAAAAAGGGGGTGGAGGAGGAGGAGGAGGAGCAGCGCCTATTCAAGTTCACGGTATGGGCGGCGGAATTGACGGTAAAAATGGAAACGGAGGAAAGAAAGGCGGGGGAGGAAACAATCAGAACCAAGGGGGAGGCAATAAGAACAATATTGGGAAAAATGGGAACAATGGAGGCGGCGGGGGCGGAGGAATCAACAACAAGAATGGTAGCAATGGAGGGCAGAAGGGTGGTGACGGTGGTGGTAAGAATGGTACGATGGAAGGCGTTCACGCGATGAACAATGGTTTCCAGCAAATGGGCGGTGTTGGCGGGAATACTGACAAGAGCATTCCCATGGGCGGCATGGGCAAGATGCCGATGGGTCAGATGGGCAGCGTCCCCGCCGTCCAAGGCCTCCCCGCAGCATCCATGAACGGCGGCGCCGGCGCATACTTCCCCGGCGGTGGTCCGGATGTTATGGCCGGAAACCCTTACAACCAGCAGCAGCAGCAGCAGTATCTGGCGGCGCTAATGAACCAGCAGAGGGCGATGGGGAACGAGAGATTCCAACCTATGATGTACGCGCGGCCGCCGCCGGCGGTGAACTACATGTACCCTCCTCCTCCGGCAGCACCGTACTCTTATCCGCCCCCACCTGACCCCTACTCCAACTATTTCAGCGACGAGAATCCTTCGGGTTGCAGTGTGATGTAAATCAACGGATGGCCAGCAACGAGGAAGATGGAAGGGTGAAGACATGAACATTATACAAGTTGAAATTGAGCTTCTTTTTTTTTTTTTTTTTGAAAAAAAATGTTTGGTCTGTAATCCTTGTTTTGGCCTGTAAGTGATGGTAAGTTAAATGGATTAGGAGGCTGGAATTAGCACAAGGATGAGTACTGGGAATACGAGATACAGAGTTTTTGGGAGGGAAAAATGGTAACTAGCAAGAGAGAGCGCGGTGGTGAGGGGTCCCTCCCGTGAGATAATGTCTGTACATGTTGAACAACAGCAATAATTAATATTTTAAGAAGCAACAAAGCCGACAACAAATATTGAGAGCCCACCTCAAGATATTCCATAACACTCCACTCCGCAGCTCTACTCTGTTTCTCATTGAATCTGCGCTCTCTCTCTATATATATATGTGTGTGTGTGTATGTATATATGTATTCTCATAATATCTCTGTTATTGTGGCACACGCAGTAGTATTAATGCTATGCCTTCCATTAAAGAAATGGGAGGAGCATTAGCATTCCAATTTCCAAGTTTATAAGCAACTCCAATAGTACAGTACTAATTAATAAATTAAATTGGATGCCCTTGTTTTTATGAGAGCGAACTCGTGAGTGTCCCGGAGATGGGGTGCGCTCTGCGACTCCAGGTGGTCCCACCTGCTCTTACTCGTCTCTCCTCGTCACGAGTGGAGCAGGCTGGTTTACTAATTTTTAACTTGTGTGAAGGACTTTGAGAAGTACTAATAATTACGCATGTCAATGTACAAATAATAATTTTTCCATGATAATTATATTTTGGCTTGGCTTCTTATAAATTTATCTGCTTCACTTTCCGGTTATAATTACGTTTAATATAAATTGAGATAAAATTTATTTTATGTACTTACCTTATATTTTTAAAATTATAGTAAAAGAACTGTTAATGAGTCATTTCAAGCGGGTCCGAATTCATCATGCCGATAAATTCTAATGCTTATTAATTTTGCTGTGGCTAGTTTACAGGCAATCTAATGATCGCCATCATAATGATGACGTAGCTGGGAATTAAGAGTAATTTGTTTGAAACGCGATCCCCGAATGAAGGCGTTGTGAGAGTGGATGTTCCGTAATGAAACTCAACTTGTAGTTTGAGTACGAGATTACACTGGCAACTTCACCGGCAGACGACGGCACGACGCATATGGGTTGAGGGCAGGGAGGAGACTATCATTTTGGTCACGATGGGAAGGCTTGTGTTGGATGCGTGTATGGACATATGTGTGTTCATTTGTTATGAAGATGACTTGCACCTTAAAGTATTTTTATGACCAAATTGAATCTCTACCTGACTGAAGAGATTATCATTTTGGTCACACCAGCAAGGTTTTTATCCTGAAGTATTTTTATGACCAAATTAAATGTTTAATTAACTCTTATATTTATAATTGAAGGTAGTACCTTTTCTTTTTAACATAAAAATTAGATAACTAATTTAATTTGATTTTTCTAAATCATCTTACATGTGAAACATATATTAAGATTATAAATTTGAAAAATAAGTTGCAAGGAGGGGTTGGGGCCCGCATTTCCTTATCATGATCATCATGTCCGTCCCCATCCTCATTATCAGGCCTGGTTGAGGACGAGAGGCCAGCCATGACATCACACACTCCTCTGTCGCTGTCTGCATGTAGTATCTCTCCATCCAACTAGTCCCTTCCTTTCCCGCTTACTTCTACGGTTACACCTAATTCTATCTTGTTTCTTTCTTCCTCTCTGTTTTTCTTTTTCCGATCCCTATTCATCCAACGCTTCATCGCCAATTAATACTCGCCTATACAAGGCATTGCTTTTGTTTTATTCGGCGACCCCACGCCCTCTCTCCCTGTTTTCTGCGTGCTGCGCCTTCACTGTTTGTCATCCATACTTGTATTTTCCTACACTACATGCCCTCCAATAAGTACACCCTTCCCCCTTATCATTATTACTCATTCATACTATAGATATGAATTATTTGTGCAGGTACGCTGCGTGATTCCCTTACTTGATTACTCGCAGACGTAGAGTAGAGTGGTATTACACCTACCCGTGTGATCATCCCAGTGCCGTATTCTTTCACTCCTTCTAACTAAGTGCACACATTCCGTGCCCCCACTAACGTGTTCTTGTGAAAAGTGCTGAATAAACAGAGATCAGGGTATTGCATGTCTTACTCACCAGTTGCATGAACAGCCCTTTCTTCAAACACCTTCCTCTTTCTAGCTGCAACATATTTTCTTATATAACTATACTGGACCTGTACATTTGCATTCACTTTCAAACGTCTTCCCTTTATCTTTTCCTCAACATATTTCTCTCTCTGCTGCTAAACTTTTCCCCTGTCTTGTGTTGAATTTTCGCGTTTTACAGGCCCCACCATTTCCTTGATGGGAGGGCTCACCATTATTCTATCACTGTGGCTCTCCATATTCTGTTGTCTCTGATCTTTTATGGGCATATAGCTAGCCACAGAAATCACTTGCCACGCGACGTGTGAGCCCAACCACATGCAATGCATCCCCCTCCATTTTAAAAAGACCTCCACTTTATTCCACACATGAAGATTGTGTAGCACTAGAGGCGAACCAGTTGGTCGGGGGTGGAAGGAAGCTTAAGAGATGACTTACAAGCAGCAGTCCAAGTCTCTGACAGGAAAGATGCAAGGCATGAGGCTTCTGTCTCTTGGTGATTGCTTTGATACTGCAGAGACCATTCTCAAGATTCTGAGCTGGGAACACTGATATGGAATCTGAGTGATAGGCCAGTGGAGCTGCAGATAAGCTTTGGGTCAATACTGAAGAAGGTTCACACGGTGAATCCGGGATGCTCGAAGAGATTGAAATGCAAAAGCATATACAAGGCCTGCATGCCTGGCATGAACCTGAAGAGCTTGCTCTATTACCATGACGACGCTTGCCATCCTTATACATGGATTTCAGACACGGGCTGATTCTCCAAGGATGGTGAAGAAGCAGGATGTTAGGCCTGAGGATCTGATCAGGGACTCTTCTGAGATCAGAATCTTCAGGGATCAGAAGCTAAGGATCTAAAGCATTTGGCTGATCGTGTTAAGGTCCTTTTAGTATAGAGTACCTTCTGAAATATTAGGCTCTTGATCTAGTCGGTTTTAATTAGAAATTGGGGGTTCACTGCAGAATTCAGGATTCTCATTTGAGAGCACTGGGCTTTACTTCCAGGCAGGCCTCAAGTTTCTTCATGCAGCCTCTCCATTGTAATCTGGGAACAATGATAATGCACGTACAGTGAGACGAATCAAGCAAAGCAAATGTACAGTAGCACAGCAAAATTATGCTAGCACGTTAACATTTTTTCCTCCTGCGTCATGCGTTGACTTCACGGACAGCATGCTGGTCCAAGTGAAATGCTCATAAAAATGACTGCGTAATGATCTGCAGACGCTTTTCAATTCATCTAATTGTTATCACATCCTTACACTTTGGGTGTGCTATTATTACTTTGAATATATAATTGGAGATTCTGGAGCCAAAGAAACAAGGAAAGCGCCTCACTGTTCTATAAGAAGGGTTGGCAAAAACTCTGGGCACCTATGTTTTATCGTCTTTCAGAGCTTTAATAAATGTCTAAATTTGGATTATTGATTGTTGATCATTTTAACTATTGCATAGATTTTCTTAATTTGACATACTAAGCATGAGAGGTGAGACTTGTATGTTTTTCTAGGGCTCTGATCTGAAAAATAGAATGCATTTTTTTTTTGTAAGTTTGGGCAGAATTTCAGCCATGGACTAATATGTGATTGAATATAGATGTGATGGAAACTGCAAGTAAGAGTATAGTCTCGTAGGCTGAGGTGATGTTTCGTAGTAGTTCACCCAAGATAAATGGTATGCATGTCTCTGTGTTGTTATAGTTTCATCTAAATAGAGGCTGGAGAACCAATGTTGTATACATTTATTATATACATTTATTGTCGTCAACTTTCCTAACTGAGCATTTTCGGGGATTATGCAGGGAGCCAGTGGCTGTAATTGACAGAGAAACAAATAGATGTTATTTTTTCTAAAATATTCTTATCAATCAAGTTATTGGTTAGAATTGTTACTATTATTACAAGGTCTACCTTAAAAAAATAGATAAATATGATAAATAAAGCGAATTAGGGCTTTATATTTAAGACCAAAACAAAAGTCAAACAAGTTCTTATATCAAGAATCGGAGGTAGCAAAAAGGAACAGGAAATTAAGAAATACACATGTGGAGACTGTAGTTATTTGATTCTCCCTTGTTTTCTGTGTTTTTGTGGGTGTATATACTCAGGAAGCGTTGGTGGCTGTGATGATAATAGTTTAATATTGCCTCGTTATTTAATAAGAACTCGTTTGTTTTTTATTTTGATTTTAAATATAAAATTCTAATTTATTTTATTTCTCATATTTAATTTTTTAAAATAATTTTTGTAATAATAGTAGTTTTAGCTAATACACTTGATTAGCAAGGATATTTTAAGAAAGAAGACACCTATTTATTACAAATAATTTACATAACTAAATTTTTTAATCTACTAAAATTAGTTAACTAACTTTTATATTATAACCAGAGGTAGTATTTGTTTATCGGGGATAACGAGGATTACGGAGGCTGAGGAGAGAAATCAGGAGAGGACGACACTCATGTCCCGCAACATGATGCTAGAGTAAACAACATGATAACTGGGATACACTAAGTGAGTAATAATTCGGGCAACATTGATGATTATTAGTTTAGTTCATCAAGAGAAGGAGCCAAGTGGGCTGGGGCTACTGGTCCGAGCCCACTGAGCCCAGAACTTGTGTACTTAAAGCTCCTTGACTGTCCAAATCAGCTGGTTTACTAACTAGTTAGCCTTGCAGACCTTTGCTGACTGGAGAAGCAACGTAAATAGACGATACTATGGGATTTACTAATCGCTTTTGCGATTTTCAAGGTCCTAATTATATCAGTTTAAGGGGTGTTTGGATGGAAACCAAATTATAGTTTCAGAAGTATTTTTACAGTTTACGAAATAAATATGTGAAGGAGTTT